TGTGGTGGCCATTGTTGTGGTGAGGCTGTGAAAACTTCATTTACAGTATGGGAATACCAGGGTGAATGGCACCCAGTTGGGCTGAGAGTACAGCTCAGAGTTAGAGCCCTGGACTAGCATGTGCAAGCCTCCCAGTTCAAGTTTGAATAGAACCACAAAAGAAAAGGAAAAAAAAAAGAAAAAAAAAAAACCTGACAGTCTCTCAAAGTGGCTGCATAGACCATGTTCCTGCAGTGCCGGTGGAAGTCTCGTGGCCTTGATTCCCCTCACGTTTGGTTCTCAGGGTTAGATTTTAGCTACACTAGGAAGAAGTGGTGACACCTCGTTGTGTTTTCAGCTTGTGTTTTTCTGAGCCCTCCCCTGAAGCTCTTTTGTCCATTTTTAAATCAGGTGGCATGTCTCCTTGCTGTTGGGTTTCAGGAGTTCTCCATATGTTCAGCAGAGGATCCTTTATTGGGTGCATCTTTTAAATACAGCCCTCCTGGTCTGTGGCTCTTGTCCCTTCACCCTGTTGGCAATATTCCTCGGCAGGGCAGATGTTTCTGTTTTTATTTATTTGATTTTTTCTGTGTTGGGGATGGGCTCCAGGGCTTGAGTGTTAGGTACCTCTTCTTCAGAGCCCTGTCTAGCCCACAGGCTTCACATTCTAATGAGGTCAAGCTCATTACCAATTCTTTCTTGCATTCCACCTTGGTCCTTTTCCTAAAAAGTCACCCAAGTCATTTAGAGTCCCTTCCACATTACCTTCTGGGATCTTACTTAGGATCTATTTATTTATTCATTGTGAAACAGGGTGTCACTATGTAGCCTTGGGTGGCTGGAACTTGCTGTATAGATCAGGCTGGACTTGAACTCACCACTCACAGAGATCTTCCTGCCTCTGCCTCCTGAGAGCTGGGATTAAAGAGGCTGCCATCATGCCTCAGCCTCTGGGATCGCACATGTGAGCCACTGGTTTCGGCTTGAATCTCACTGTCCCTGGAGAGAACTTCAGCACCTGGAGCCTTCTCCCTTGAACTTGAAGATAGTGCTTTAAGTCTGGGCTTGTGTCCTGTGACCTGTGACACAGGACTAATCCTCTCTGTCTCCTTTTACAAATAGTCATGTTTCTTTGGGTTTTGTGTTCTTTGCTTTCTTCATCAGGTGGAATTCAGATCTTCCTTAAGTAATTTAAAATAGACGGAGAAGCAAGCCACAGGGCCTGGGGAGAGTGCAGGTGGTTTATGCCATGCTTTCCTGGATCTAATCCCTTCAGGAACAAGTGGAGGAGTTTATATTCTGTTAGTTAATGCTGTTTTATGAGCATCTTTATCAACCTTAATAAATACTTGCAGGTGCACACAGCTGTAACAAGGGGAAGAAAGAATCCATTCAGCCTGTTACATAGAAGAGAATGTTAAAACACATTGGGAATATACTCCAGGTTGGGGCTGCATCTCTGTGTTCATTCTTGCTGGGAGATGTGGAGTTTCTAATTTCACACAGACATCTGGACCAAGGGATAGACGACATGGAAAAAAGTAATTAAGGGATGTGATGTGCTCCCACTCTGGAGACACAAATCATTTTTTTTTCAATCTCTTAAAAGAAAAAAACTTAACTTTTGAAGATTTCATTTGTAAAATTGACTGTATTTTATAAGCAATGCTTAAGTTCATTGGTGATAAATATTCATGTTTGTGGAATAAAATCCCATTTTTTTACATAATGCTTTAATGGAAATGGCAGTTTTATGAAATGAAAGTGACTAGGTTTTCTGAATGATGCTCATAAGCCTTCCGTCCTTTTTATTGAGGTTTTGTGTTCTAATTCATTAGTACAGGGAAGGCAAGCACTAACACGGCTCATCTCCTGTAATTATTCAAATTGGAGTTATTTTCAATAAAATTCTTGAAGTAAATTGCCCAGAGTGGGGCGAAGAGGATTGGCCTGTTTTTGCAAAATGCCTTGATTTTTACCCATGAGACTTTGCTGTTCTGCTAGTGGTGTCTGCGCCGCATATATTTCCAGCATGGCTCCCTCCAGAGTTCTACAAATTAGTGCCCAGACCCAAGGCGGGGTGCTAGGGGAGAAATACAGCTTATTTTATCCTGCTCACTGCTACCAATATTGCTTGTCTTTTAATAATTTAGGCCATCTTTTATGTAATTCATGTAAATTGAAATGCCATTTATATTGCCACATAATAGGCAGATCTGGGTAACACGCCTCAGTATGCTCAGTCAGTGGAATCTAGCTTATGTTTATAGAATCTAAGAAGATGTTGGTGGAGTCTACAACTGGGATCCCCACCCCAGCTTAATGGGGAGCAGAAGGGGAGACACTGGAACCTGCGGTGGGCATAGTAAGTGTTCTGTCTTCTCCATGGTGAGATGTCTGTATGCTGTGGTGGGTATGTTATATATTTGATCTGACAGTGTGTCCACACTCTTGAGGCTCAATGATCATTCTGTGTATTTCCTTTTCTTTCTTTCTTTCTTTCTTTTTTTTTTTTTTTTTGAGACAGGGCCTATCTTTGTATTGCAGATTGGCTTAGAATTTGCCATATACCAAAAGATGACGGTTAACTTCTGCTCTTTCTGCCTCCACCTTCCCAGATTCAGAATGATAGGCATGACCCAGTATGCCTGGTCATTTTTCTGTAGGCCCTGGATACTGGCAATGGACCCTTTCATGAGTAACCTCAGAACTCCCTGGCTGCCTGAGTACCCACACTTGTAGAGCAGGGCTTGGTGTGTTTTATGAAACCTAGACCTGAAAGTTGTACCCGTGCAGGCTTGTAGGGCTTACCGCTTTCTCTGACCCTAGAAAAGCAGAGCTGTTTTTAGCTCTCCTTTTTATAGAGTGTGCTTACTGAAGTGAGCCCCACCTTAAGTAAAGGGGTATCAGCCTTCTTATCTTCCCATGAGTCAGCCTACATGCAGTGCAGGTAGGATAGGGTAGAATTCCAGAGAGCTGCTATCCCACATGCCCCTGGACAGTCTCAACACCAAGTGTCTCATTTCTCTCTGGAGGCCAAGAACTTGTTGCCTCCAGCGTCCAGCTCTCCTTCCCTGTGGCTGCAAACCCTTTGGGCCAAGGCTAGCTGTCTCCCGTGCTTTCCCCCCGGGGTTTGGGGGGAAGACGGGGTGAAGAGTTGGTTTGCAGTGGATTCTGTTCTGAGTGTAGCTACATTCTGGATCCTTCAGGAAGTCCTCTCTCCTGGCTTCAGCCTGGTTCAGGGCTTCCTGAAAGATTCGCAGCTGGAGGTGACCTTTCCAGGTGTTTAGATGTCCACAGTGCTGTCCCTGATATGAGAAGAGCTTCTAGGGAAATGATTGTCAAACACTAGGTGATGCAGCCATCTTGTCACATGTACTGCAGTGCATGCATGCATCCTTGCAGGCAGTGAGGTGCAGCCACAGGGCCAGTAGAGTAGGGGCTGATGGAACGGCAGGTACTATCACTGAGTTGCCACCTACCCTGGGTTTCTGTATGGAGATGGCACCAGGCTTCCATTCTGAAGTTGCATGAGTATGGCTGGTGACCACTGTGCAAAGGAGCCAAGCTGAGTAGCCATGTTGGGAGTGCTCGTGTTTGGCACAGTGAGGTTGCAGGCACATACTGTTTTGGGGGGGCTTTTTATGGATAAAATTATGCATTAGCAAATGCAGGAATTGTCTTATGCTCAGATTGTCCCCTGGCGTGTACAGCTATCCCATGTGGACAGCTCAGTGCTTCCTTGGAGCTACACTGTGGGTGTGGTAGGCTTGATTTTGGACTCAAGCCCCTTCCCCTCAGCCACCATTTGTGTTTAAGCTAAGCTTTTATTCAGTGGGTATTTCATAGTTTGAGTACCTCAGAGGAAGCCAGCCTGAGGCACACTCATTTTTCTGGAAATAACCTGTGAGTAGTTTTCTTCTTGGTGCATGTGTCTGGAGACCGTTACTGAGCCCAGACACAGGGCTGGGGACTGAGATGGACAAAGGATAATCCTGCCCTGAGCAGCTGAGAGTCACTGAAAGCATTTTAGAGCACACTGTCGAGTGTCTGTTGGGCCTTCTCAGATGTGACAGGTGAGCTGGTAGATATTCTTTGTAACCACGGAAACAGAGTCCCCTCCTCTGCTTGCTTGCAACTGTGAAAGCGGGAGTGGAAAGCCTGCCTATTGGAAACAAAGATGTGCCACTCCTGTTGAAAATAGGTAAACATGAATTGGATGGAGGCCTGGGGATGTGGCTCAAAGACTGGGTATATATGCACAGGTCCATGGGTTAGCTCCATAGCAACACACACAGCCATCAGCACACAAATGCATGTGCACATGACAAAAAAAAAGAGGTCTTGCAGTTCACCTCTCCCCAGTTGAGCCCTAAGAAGCCTAGTGATCAGATGTCCACTTGCTGGAATGTAGATTAGCCAACAAGAAACAATTGTGTGGTATGTACCCTTGTACATTGCTACTAAGTATAGATGGTTGGACAGGCTCCCACACGGTTGATATTAGTTACCTCAGGCACAAAGGAAAGCTTATTAACTTCTCTTTATACATCTTTCATTGTTTGGTTTGTTTTAAGAAGCATGTTTTACTTTTTTAATTTAAAAAAATCTAATAAAGTAGGAATGAATAAGTAATAGTAATGAACAACAGCCTTGGGCCACGAAACGTGGCTCCAGGCTTCTTGGGAGCCTCAGTGCTTAGAGCTGCTAGCAGGGCTCAGAATGAAGTTGGCTGTCCTACAGACACACGGGTAGTAGTTTCCCTGTCTACAGAATCCTACCCTCCCACAGTCCACCTGACACCTGACACTCTGCTCTTAATAGTCAGTAGGTACCTACGCCCAGTCCTTTGTACAGTTTCTGCCAGATTCCATTGTGGTTCTATGGAAGTGAGTGTTGAACATGAGTGACTGTTGTTGGATTCAGACAGTGTGTGTCTAGGTCCTCACCTCTCACAGAGGTCTCTTGTGAGCTCCTATTTTCCTCACAGGACACCAACCAGTGTCTGTCTCTCCACGTAGGTCCCTTCACTGATGTCGTCACCACCAACCTAAAACTCGGCAACCCAACAGACCGAAATGTGTGTTTTAAAGTGAAGACCACAGCACCACGCAGGTACTGTGTGCGGCCCAACAGTGGGGTCATTGATGCCGGGGCCTCTCTCAATGTGTCTGGTAAGTTCTGAGCCTGGAGGTCATGGGTGGGTTCTGAAGGCCCCAGAGCCATAGGGCCTTGTCAGAGCGGGTAGTACAGGAAGCTACAGACTTCTCTCCACATCTCCTGTCCCACCTCTGGGTACAACACTTGGTGCCTTACCACCTCTGAGTTCCATAATTCACGTCTCAGAGTCTCGGCACCTTAGTAGCCAGTGCAGAATTAAAGTAGTGGCTATAGATTTGGCTGTAGAGCAGGGCCCTGTTCTTTTGGAATTAAATCTGCACATTGACCAGTCAGAAGAGGCTGAATAACACATTTGCTTTGTGGGAGAATGTTAAATAGCATTATTTTCTTAACGCTAAATGACTTCTGACATTGCTCATGCCATCTAGTAATTGGAGGTGCTCTTTGCCCTGAAAGCTGAGGAGGTAGGGTTGCAGAGATGCACAGGCAAGGCTGTGGGCCGGCCCTGTGTGTTGTGATGACCCCCTTCTCTATGAGGCTGCATACGTTTTCCAAAGCCTGACTTCTGAAAAGATGCTGATAAGTGCCTAAATTGAAAATTGAGTTTCAGAACTAAGGAAGTCTGAGTGATATGTTAGGGTTTAAATGTATTTAGAAACTGGTGAACTTGCAGCTCGTTAGAACTCGTGATGCTCAGAGGAGCTGTGGGGGAGTACATGTCCTTTAGACACCAGTGACTCAGTGTCCCTCAGCTTCGGCCGGCATTGTTAGAGGCCACTTCTCGTTTGAAGTGAGTGCCTGTCTGGGTTTTTCCATGGTAGATTTTGATTGTGATACATTTGGCTATTCATTTGACACCTAAAAGAAAATGATTCACCTCTTTGGAAAGATACAAGGTGTTTCATTATCTCCGACTCTGAGTCCTCGCCTCTGTTGGTGCCTCTCATTATGGAGCGCCTGCCCCCGCTCCCCCTGTGTGTCCCTCTCTGAGTCTGCAAGGCTGGGGGTGCACCGGTGAGTCAGATTAGTCAGGAGCAGTTAGCTGGTAGCTAAGCCTGTAGAAGGGTTCCCACTGCTGGACCCCACACAGCCCCATCATGTGCACTGTGCAGGACACATTGTCCCATCTGTTTTGTGTCCATTTTGAATCACAGAGTGGTGTGTGACAGAGCCAGTGCTCTGGGTTGGGCCTGCTAGAAACAGAGAGAGGTCATTATGTGGTGTCTGATTCCTCTGTGTGTCTTAAGGTTTTTGCTGAGATTGGGGGAGCTGGATTCTCATATCCTGACCGCTTGTGTGGTGGCAGAGGGCCTTGTGTTGAACTGTCTCAGCCTTCTATTTGCTTTAACTACCATCCGCCAATTTCTCCATCACTAACACATGTCAGAAAAGTTGAGCTGATTGGCAGATGAAAATCACCAATTTTCATATGAAACAGGCAGCCTGGTTATCTGAATAAAATAATCTTAGCAGGTAGTTGTATAGTATAGGTATGCCTTCTAATGTTACAGATGCCGTGTGGCTTGAGTATTTGTGTATGTGTGTCTGTGTGTGCATGTGTGTGCATGTCTGCATGTGTGTGTGTTTCTGAGTGCCTTTGTGTGTGCATGGGTGTGCATGTCTGCATGTGTGTGTGTATCTGAGTGCCAGTGTGTGTGTGTGCATGGGTGCATCTTTCACTAGGAGCAAGTCCTTTCCTGTCTCTGGAGGGTTCTGACTGATCAGTGGCTCCTTGTTGAAGGCAGCTTTTGTGTTGAGTCTTCCCTCTGAAGATTAGAAAATAAAGAGCCAGCATGGATGGGCTCCTTCCCTGTCACATGGTTTCTGTCCCATGGCTATCAGCCATTTGGGTTAGAGGCAGATGTTCTGTGATTCTGTGCTGCTGCCTCGGCAGGTTAAAGGTGACTGCCTGAGAATGAGTCTGAAATGTAATGCATCATAGGGCTGGGGAGACAGGAAGAGTGATCGAATAAAGAAACATGTTTGCAGCTTCCCCTGCTGAGGTGGGAGGGCACATGAAAAGAGTCGCTGTGGAGCCCCTGTTTGTTGGTAGTAGTCTCACGTGGACCAGGAGAGTGGTACAGCCTGTTTAGTTGTAGGTGCTGGGTGTATAAATGTCCCATTTTACACACGTACATCTTGGGTTGTGAAGTGCTGTGCTTGTCCAGGCCTGTTCCTCGAGGAATGCAGCTATTGGGGTGACAACATGGTGAGCCAGAGTCCCTGGAAGAAGCAGGTGCACAGGCAGCACACTGTCCTCTGTGTGCTCACACCCACTTATGCCTGCCTGAGAGGTTAGGAAACTAAGTGCGAAACTAGGCCTGTCCTTGAGCCCATTGGCTGACATCTTGCCAGCCTGGTCACCTGTGCACATTCTGCTGTTGCCACTGTACATGCACAAAGCCACCAGTCGTGAGGAGAGATGAGTTCTGTACTATTTGCATTGCCTTAAAAAAGCAAAAGAATTCTATGCATTTTACATATTCATGGCCTATGTGAATTCCTATTAAAGCATGCATGCTTATGAGTGAATTTTCATATGTAATTTACAAAATGGTGACCATCAAATGAACTTGAAATCATATCAGCATGGTTCTGCTTAGTACCCAGAGTGTCACAGGATACCTGGAAAGGATAGGGTTAGTGTATCCCTGCATTTCTAAAGACCCCTGGGAGGTGCTAGCTATTAGATGAGGCTATAAATCATCCCTGTACGAGGCAGGGGGAGGAGGGGAAAGGAGCCGAGTTGGAGGGGAGGGGAGTGATGGGGATGGGCCTGGGCCTTTAAAGGCATTGTCTTCTGCATTTTGGCTGTGGCAGGCTTGGGTAGTGATTCCCCAGGCACACCCTGTGGTGCTCTGCTTGTCTTCCCAATGACCCTGACATTCAGGGGACCTGTGCTGTTTCCTTCAAAACACAAGGAACATTTGTGCATGGGGTTCCTTTCATTAACCTAGGCAGAGCAGTTACAGTTGGACAGAGGGCAAAGTGTGACATGTGGGCATTTCCAAGTAGGAGTGCTCTGGGCCTTCCATTGTCTTTGTCTTCCGTGTGGCTCAGCTGTAGGCTGGTTCTGAGACACAGCCCAGCTCGCGGTTGCTCCCAGAGTGCCAGGGCCTGTGCTCTTGATGCGCAGGGGCTTTCGGAGCCGGCTCGCACCGGTGGATCTGCTGGATCTGCACCTTGGCAGCACAGGCGTGTGGAGATGAGCCTGCAGGAAGGAAGTAGAGTTCCCAGAGGACAAGGGGATGGGAGTACCTCTGCTTTCATCACTCCTGGGGGTCTGGGGGGGTGGCATTCTAGCTTTACAGAACTAAGTATCTTTCAAACTGTATGGTAGGGAAATATTTTTTTAAAGCATGTAATTTCTGAAGATGTCTTTGTAGAAGGCTGCTAGTGGTGGCGGATCCTGTTTTTAATGATGCAGTTTAATAATGAGGGACTTTTCCATTAATATTCCAAACCATGTTTGCCAGCACGTACAGCAGGTGAAGAGGTAGAATTATGGGCCCATCAAAAATACTTAGGCTTCCTGTAATATGACATTAAATTTAGTATTTGTATAACCTCTGTGAATTCTAATCCCACCAAGTGGTGAGCTTTCATTTGCAGTTCTGTTGTGCACATTGCCTGCCCCTATGCCAAGTGCATTACACATGCTGAGTGTCCACAGGGGCATGGGCAAAGTCATTAAAGATACCAGTATCTAGATACAGACTCACTTTACTCAGGTGGATTCGAGCCAAGCGTAGGTCTCCCAGTATCTGGTTTGTGTTTTAAACTGGAATTCGGAGTAGAGGGGGCATGTTGGCTTCTGACAGTCCCTTCAGGACTCCCGTTGGTTATGTTGAGACGTAAAGTTCTTCCAGTGACGTGCCGAGGACACGCTGAGTATCAGCAGCTCTTGGGATGGAGACGTCGGTCAGTTAATGTAAGTGAGTAGCATTGCAGTTGATAATCAATCCGTTTATGACGGTGCTGGCTCGGGCGGATGTTACTGTTTGCTGGCGTTGGACCAGGCAGCTGTGGGCTGCACCATTCAGGTGGTGAGTCTCAGGGTAGAAGTGTACTTAACCTGCTGACAAAGAAGCCTGGCACCGTCTTCCAGTGTGGACAGAGGGGCTTCCGTGGGGACTTCAGTAGCATTGCCCTTCCTTGGATCCAATCCTTGCTTTGGAAGGCTCTGATAAATACGTGTAGCCTTTTAACTGGATGGTCTCCACGTGCTGTCCTTACCACTCCCAGGTAAGAGCAGCCTCTGCTGCAGTTTAAGATAAGTCTCTAATCTTGTCACCAGATTAGATTATGGCTTAAAATATTTTACCAATAAAAATTCAGCTTAATTGTGCTTACAGCCTTTCAGATCTTGACTGTAGGATGCAGGCTTTTTGAGAAGACTGTTCCCATCTTTTTATGAATATGACCCAAGGGCAGAACCTAGAAGACTGGTCAAGAGATACTTAGCTGAAAGGTACTTTTTGGCTCTGCAAGGTGAGCCAGGAGTACAGTCCATAAAATTTGGTGCAGCAGAAAGCCTGAATGTTCCTTCAGTCTGTTCTTGTAGGTGGTGTCTTTGGCTCCCCTTGAAGTTCTATCCTACCCTTTGTAACTTCACTGCTAGCTCATTGCAGAAGGAAGGGAGAGGAAAAGGTAGTTGGGGGAGCACTCAGAAAGCAGGCGAGAGAGAAGTTGCCAGGCACAGGAACTGACCCTGCTTTAGGACACACTGGTCTCTGTGTTGCTGATGGTTTGGCTCACAGGTCTCCCTGAGGTCAACTAGCACTTGATGGGGCACAGGGTGCACAGTTATACTGGGAGGAACAAAGGGATGCTAGGCTGTGCTCTGCTGTTAGTTATGACGCAGGAAGACATGTTGTGAAAGGCTTTGTAAGGAAGGAAGGGTGAGTGGGTCTTGCTGTTTGGCCTGTACAGCCTGTTGCATGCCTCCCTTCTGTTGTCTTGAAGAAAGGCTGAGGGCTACCATGGCCTCTGCACAAACAGAGCAGGGTGCCAAGTGTTTGTTACTTGAGCTGAGCACATGAGCCAGAGAGGCCCACAGAGAGCACAGGTAGAACAGCAGCGTTCTTAGAACCGGGTGAGCTTAGTTATATATCTACTCGGTTTGAATAGTAGAGGCCCCAGGAAAGTAGTCACAGTGGCCCCTGAAGGAAATAATGAAATTACTTGTGGCGAGAGTTTGGGGCCTACCTAGTTGTCTCAGGTTAGAGTCCAGCATTCATGCACACTGATCACCCTAGCTGTAAGAAGCTCATGGTTGTCTTCTGTTGTTTAAAAAGAGGGTAGTGGTGCTGACGTTGCCAATGCATTGAGTAGGTAGATCATGTTCTTCTGACCAAGAACTGTGAAAGGAGGGAGAAAGTCTGCAGAGTCTCTGGTTGGCAAGAAGAGCATGAGTGAGTGAGGGCAGACGGCCGTGTCTCGTTGGGTGTGGAGACATCTTCAGGTGAGAGTCAGACTGAGTAGTGCACTCCTTCCTTCCTTGCTTGACCCACAGTGGTAGACATTAAAACGGCCTATAGCTGCCTGGCTCCCTGGAAGCAGCCTTTATGCTGCATTTAATCAGGTCATCATTTTCTAAGCCAGTGTGTGTGTTTTAAGTGGCCTGGTTTTTCCTCTTTTGAGGGAAGTCTGGTGTGATCAGTCCACTTCTTCATGACCCTGAAGGTTCTTCTCAGGGGTCCTACCTTTGTGCCTAATGCAACAGGCTGTGTCCTGAGCCCAGCATGGGTGAGGGGTGACTGAGCCCAGGTTGTCTCCTGGTAACAGGCCTCTTTTAATGTTCTGTCAGCAGATGCGCTCTGAAAGGAGGGACAATTCACTTAGGGTTTTTATCATCAGTGTCTCTGGTATTTAAATGAAATAAATTAAGTTAATGGGAAGCTCTTTTATAGCCTGTCATGGAAAAAGTACATAATTTGTGCCACAATTTGCAGCCAGCTAGCGCTGACCAACATTTATTCCCTCATGTTCTCATAAAGTCTCCACTGAAACCAGATTAGACATGAGATGGTGGCAGCTGAAGAACAGGAACTCGGTGCTGTATGCAAAGGGCTTCGTGAAGCAGGGTATATGGGTCCTAGGTGTACCAAGGGTCTGTAGAGTGTCATATACACACAAAGGACAGCCAGTGGGAGGCAGACAGCTGCTTCTCTTCTTGTTTCTGCTGTGGGGGAGAGGCAAGTCCCCACCTTATACTCAGAGCTTCCTAGAAGAGCACTCCAGAGGCCCTGGTTCTCATTCCTGGTCGGCCTCACCGGGGCCCTAAACGTCAGTGTATCTTGACTTAGGAATTGTGACCAGCCACCACTAGGCCTGCTCTGTGTGCCCTGCCATCAGGTGGTTCTCTGGGCTCTCCACTATGGAGCTGAACAGGCAGGAACGGGATAGTGCTGGCTGTAGGCAGGATGCTGTAGGTCAGGAGTGGGGTAGTGATGGCTGTAGGCAAAGCTGCAGTGGCCTTGAGGTGTGTGCTTGCTCAAAGGCACACAGGGAAGGACCATCTGCAGTGCTGGCTTCACACTTGCCCCTGCAGCTCAAACATGGGTACAGATAGCTCCTTTCTCTTTCCATTGCCTATAGAAAGGCTGCTTTTAGGCACTAGTCTGATTGCGTCCCTCTAGAGAGGGCTAGGAAGGCAGTGTATGTGGCAGCTATGCTCCTGGGTAGTCTCTGAACTTTTTGTATTACTGACAGTTGAAGACTCCAAAGAGTATAGTAGGTCTTTGTGAGCTGTAGTGATATTTATTATATTAGAAATTTTTAAATGACTAATTTCTTTAAAAATTACAATCCATCAATTACATGTTAGTAGTAATACTTTTTATGAAAGTAGCTATTCTCAAGAAATTGGAAGGCTGGCGTTGTTGACAGCTTCTGCAAATCTGACATCTTAATAGGCCGCTTCTCATGTCTGCTTCATTCAGTGTGCTGCACTGCTGTCGTGGTGGGTGTGTCTCCCAGACAGGAAGTTAATAGCATCTTTAGACGGCTCTGTGGTGGGCAAGAAGCATTTTCTTCGTTTTGCTTCTTTTTTTTTTTTTTCCAGTGCTAGGGTTGACCCAGGCTTTGCATGTGCTACAGAGACCAAGCTGGCCTCAAATTGAGATCCACCTGCCTCTGCCTCCAGGGTTCTGGATTAAAGGTGTGGGCTACCAACTACAGGCAGATTGGACCCATAGTGTGGGAATGTAACCCTGGAATCAGCCAGGCAGGAGACCCTCATAGCCTTTGACCTCCTATCTAGACTGTCCTGACCTCCTTGGATGATGGGGAGCAGGAGCTATGGAATGGTCTTTTGAGTTTGACTATGTGTGTGTTTGTGGACTGAGGAAACCAGGTGCTAGTTCAGGGTTTTCAGTTGTTTGTTTCTTTTTATTAGAAGAATAGACAGCAGAATAATAGCCCCCTCCCACAGCAGCACCTGCCTCACAGGGATGAGTGGGGTGAAGATAGTGCTGAGGAACAGGGCCCCGTTTCTGGTGTGGACACTCTGAGGCTTCCCCTGATAGTGAACTTAGGTTTCAGGGACGGTCACTAGGGGCAAGGCTTATTAAAACTGTGCAACAAAGGGAGTGTGTTCCAAAGCAGCCTTCCTATAACAGGGCCGGCCTGGGTTGTCAGGGAAATAGGACCAAGGGAATGAATCAGAATACAAGACTCCCTCAGTACAGCGGGGTGCCTTGGGTAAGCTTTCTCTGGTTTCTGGGTGGTGGTGGGAGTTGGAATTGCTTTTCCTGCTGTGGCAAATCCAGCTTTTAAGCCGTCTCCAGAATTCTATTGGCAAAATCATATTTCAAGCCTTACCTTGATGAGCTGCGTGGGAAATGGGGTGGAGAGAAGCGAAAACCATCCTGAAACGATTTGAGTTATTCTGTTTTCTTTCTCAAAAAGATCATTTGGCAATGTTTTCTTGAGAAAAATAGGACTTTAGTGTTTCTCCCATTTTATGTCTTCAGTAAGAGCTGTAAGATAGGCTAGGGTGGCTTTGTGTGAGCATACGACCTTTGTGTCAGAAATCAGACACCCAAGTTCCAGACCCAACCTACAGTTCAGCTAGTACCTGCTGTCAGGCTGTGACATGCCCCAGTTTTTCTGGTCTTAGTTGCTTACCTGCAAAATGGGGGATTGGAGAGCAAAATGGGGGATTGGAGAGGCTATACGTCCCTGCTGGCTCATGGCCTTCCTCAGGGTCCAGATGGGGGAACTGGGAAGCTGTTTTAGCCCACAGTGTAAGTATTAGCGTGACAAACGACTCTGATAACCACATTGTGACCCTCCTAATGAAATATTTTCTTTCTCAGTGATGTTACAGCCTTTCGATTATGATCCCAATGAGAAAAGTAAACACAAGTTTATGGTTCAGTCTATGTTTGCTCCGCCCGACACTTCTGATATGGAGGCAGTAGTAAGTACGAATACTTCTTCTTTTCTCCAATCTGCTAGGGCAGCCGTGGCGGGTGCATGCCTTGCTGCTGTTGACGGGGCGCCGTGCTGTTAGGGAGGTGTGCACTCTGGTCCCTGTACGGCTTTCCTAACGTTGATGGATAGCTTTAACATTTTACATGGCTGTTCTCTTCTGACTCGATGAACTGAACTTGCTTCAATTCTCTGCTCTTTCCTCCCTCTCCTGCCCGCACCACAGCAGAGTGTGCTCTCCGTTGTCAGGATGCTCTGGCCTGTCTCCAGCCCTCACACCCAGAAGAGGGTGTGTTTAACACTCAATGCTCCTCCTCCCAGTGATACTGCCTGGTGTTGCTTTCCTCTTCTACTTAGTTCTGGTCAGCATAGTTCTTCTGGTTCTTTGCTGAGGATGGAGCTTGGGTCTTGTTCACACTAAGCATCTGCTCTGCCTGTTTCTAAACAGAGCCTGCTTCCTTTTTCTTTAATTGCTTTCATTTCCATCCCTCCTCCCCCATGTGAGTTCATGTTTAACAGTGTCCCTAATTTTGGCAAAATTAAGATGCCTTTATTTTTATAAATAAGCAGTATTTTGTGGTATTGATTTTTCCAGAAGAAGAGGGTTTAGAATGGCAATTCTCCCCAAAGGTGGCTCCTGACCTACTCCAGGTGACAGGGACCTGGGTGCTGCACTGATGTCTTCAGCACATTGGGCACTGGTCCTCAGTATCTGACCAGCCCAGAGACAGCATGTCAGCAGTTGTCTCTGTTTCTAAGCTGTATTGGAGGGGCGGGGGGGAGCTTCTCACTCGCTGCTCAGTCTTTGCTTTGAGCTTGGGAAAGCAGAGCTCGATGTTCTCATTGGTATCTCTCTCCCTTGGGGCAGAAAGGGAAGGTTGAGTCAGATGCTGAGTTGGAGTGAGACCTCGCCATAAGACCGACCTGGGGCATTTCTCTGACCTTTCGTTTGCAGATTTGTGTTGTGTTAGTCTGCTTGCTGAAGGGACACATGACAGGCACAGACGGTGGACTGTTGACAGGCGGTGGCTTGGTCTGTGGTGTAGCTGGTTGGGAGGGGGCTTGGCTGTCCTCATCTGAAGCTGAGGCCTGCCTTTAGTGCTGTGGTCTGTTTTGAACAGGCTTTGTTGATGCTTCTTGAGGTTTTGGCCACCTGTGAATTGGGCATAAAAATGCAGCCCACAGGATTTTGAGGAGAATGCACCCACGTCCGACACGTCACCCGAGCAATTAGGGCTGGGAACTGCAAGCTTTATTTCTCGGTGGGTTGTTCTTTAATAACTGTTTTAAGTGTTTGGGCAGCATCTTTTGAAGGGCATTGTGGGCGTGCCCACTGAGTGGAAGCTGAGCAGGATGCAGGTGACGCTGATTCCCCATACCAGGCCCGATTGCTCAGAGCCTGTGTTACTCTTAAGCTGACACCGTGCAGGCTATCAAGAGCAGTGCCAATTGCTTCTGCCTTGATGTCCCGTGTGTGAAAACTTGCTCCCTGAGCTGTCATAGGCTTTCTTGGGCTAGCTGCCTACAGGAGGGTGGCTGCTGCCTATCCCTGAGCCCTGCAGAGCAAGGGCACACTCACTGCTTACTGCATGGTATTCTATGCAGTCAGTACAGTGAACTAGAGTTATCAGTGCCCTCTGAGCACCCCAGAGTGGCCTATGGCTATTTCCATGGCACCGTGGGTTTTACAGCTTTAGGGTCCAGGTCGGTGGGCTTGGAGGGCTTTGATTATTTCCTCATTAAAATTCAGATTCAAATTTGGGAGTAAGAATGACCCATACTGAGGTGATGTTATTGCTGGCTTGTCCCATTCTTGGTGTGGTTTGATGAGTTGGCTCAGGCAGTGTGGAAGCGTGCTTGCCCTGTAGTTTGTAGGCTGGTCTCTGAGACCACTTAAGTGTCTTGCTGACCAGCATTGAGCACCCAGAGATGGCCCTTCCATGATCCTCTCTGACTCACAAGTAGACACAAAATCATGGGCCTTGCGCAGAACAACAGACGTGTGTCAGTGTGTTTCTATGTAGCTCTGTGCTCTCAGGGATCCTGTGAGTCGGAGTGTGCCGTCCCATTGACTGCTTGTGCCACACCCAGTGTGGCAGTGGTCTGGTGCCAGACAAACTAAGGGCCCTAGCTGTCATGCGTGGTTGGGAGGGTGAGGATGGGTGTCTCCCTTTTTTGAGTTGTCACCTTCCTGCTCTACTGGACTGTCATTCTCAACCCTTCCTGGATTCCCATCTTCCGCATCTGAATGGAGACATCAGTGAGGGGCGCATACCAGAAAGGCCCCTCTCTGATGGTTGGGGTGGCCATCCTGGTGCAGCCACTGGAGTGGTATGGTGGATGGTGGATGTGCCCCACCAGCAGTTGCCAAGGTGAGCTAGATACTCATCCTCCAGCTCTCTAGGTAGTGTTTGCCCTGTCATGTAAATTTCATGTTCTTAAGGAGACCCAGAATTGCCTTGAGAGGATGGGTGACCCTGTTCAGCCGTGCTCTCCAGGCCTGTACTGCCCTTGCAGCAGCAATGAGTGAGCTTGGACAGGTTCTAAGGAGCCAGGCAGCAAGACTGCAGGGTTTGCAAAGTGTGATAAATATTCAAGAGAGCTAGTGCATTTAATCTTGTCATGTTAAAAATATTGAAATCTCAGCAGACTTAAGTTCTTTATTTGATATACATCAGGGCTTTCTCATTAAGAGTATTTTTCTGAAATTGTCAGTTATAGGAGGAGAATTATTCTTCCAGCAGCTTGATAATACCCTGATTATTAAATTTAAATTGTTTTAGTGGAAGGAGGCAAAACCGGAAGACCTTATGGATTCAAAACTTAGATGTGTGTTTGAATTGCCAGCAGAAAACGCTAAACCAGTAAGTATGTCTCTAGTTAACAGTAATCGAATGCTGCAAGCTGATACTTATTTGCATGCTGTCTCCTGTGAAACCAAGATTTAAGTTGGCAAATTATTTTTCTTCCTCTAATGTATGAAGGAAAAAATAAGCTGAAGTCAACAGATAGGCTTTATAAAGTCAACCTTGGGGAAGTGGCTACCGGAAATAGTTTTCCCTTGAGAAGTACAGCCTGTTGGCCCCCAAGGTCATGAATCCTGGGATGGCAAAGTAGGGAGGCCAAAATGGAGCACTTTGCCTTTATCATGGGGCAGGTGGTCAACTCTTGGAACATTCTTGTCAGTGTCCCCTTGAGCATCATCCCTCTTCCCCCATGCCCACACAGCACACAGTGCAGTCCCAGTGCTGTTGGCACTCTGCGCTGGGGGGGCACCATCCTGTGTGCTGTGGGATGTTAGATACTAGTGCTACCTCCAGTTTTCACAGACACTGCTGTGTGCCCGCTGTCCCTTTGCCAGCCCTCTTTGTCCCTTGCTTCCCTGGCTGCCCCCCTCTCCCAGTGATAACTTCATCTGGGCCTCACTGAGGACCAGCAGTGGCAGAGCTGGGAAGAGGAAGCGCTCTGCAACAGTTCTTCACATGATCATAATGAGCACTGAGAATGCTGTTGATTGGGGTCAGAACTGTGTCGTGTTTTCTTCTACTCTGTAATCAGCTACTGGCATCTTAGTTCTTTGAATGGAGAGAGAATAGCATCCTGTTGCAGGAAACTGAACTTAAAAGCAGGGAGACATGGATCCTGACCCTAGCCCCATGATAAGTGGACTTGGCCTGGGCTCTGCCTTCCAGGCCTCTCCCTCCTGTTGGCAATAGGGTAGAGCTAGATGCCTGATTTTCAGATTGCTGCCCGGAACCTCAGGGATCAGTCAGAGTGCTTCCTCGCCCTGGTTCACTGACTGGCTCATCCTCCAGGAGGGTGCCCTGGCCCCTTTTATACACCGGAACACATCTCCAGCACAGCCTTGCTGACTCACTGGCTTGGTTGCCCTCTGCCCTGCTTGTAGGTGGCCTCTGTGTAGCACTCTTTGGGCCCTCTATCCTTCCAGCCCCCACGGCCTGAGATGCTTAGCTCTCCTGCAAAGGGAATTTGCAGCTGATAATTCCTGAGCTTGCACAATTGCAGTATGCTAATTTTTGCATGGCAGGAATTTGATAGTGCAATATGCATGGCCCTTTTTCTCTTCCTTGAAGTATTAGCCTCAGCCCAACTTCATTATTTGCCCTTATTCATAATTTCTAGGGCCTGGTAGCTTTAGATTATCAAGATATTAGATAAAGTGATCCATTTAAACAATAAATGTGACATTGTACAGTGTGGATGAAATGCTGCCTTGTGTCTTGTGTGCCGAGGACGAATTTGCATAAAATCCTTTCTGACATAGTTGGTGACACTTGGGCTCTCATTTATGTCTGAACAGCATGATGTAGAAATAAATAAAATTATACCTACAAGTGCATCCAAGACAGAAGCACCGGCGGCCGCTAAGTCCCTGACATCGCCCCTCGATGACACGGAAGTAAAGAAGGTGATGGAAGAGTGCAGGCGGCTGCAGGGGGAGGTGCAGAGGCTTCGGGAGGAGAGCAGGCAGCTCAAGGTAACGCCCACCCTCTCAGGGCCCAGTGGTTATAGCTGGGAAGTGGGGGAGGGGAGCCTAGAGGGTTTGGGTTGTTTCTCTGTATCTGCTTACTTTTTTTCTCCTAAGGGACACATTTGTAGAGCTTTCTTCCAGCTCTCAGAAGGGTCTTCAGACTGTGCCTACCAAACTGGTGTCTACCCAAGGACCCACTCCCACTCCCACCTCCACTAAGTCATGCTGGTTCTTTGAATAGGGATTGTCAGAGCCCACTGTGCCCCGTTCCCCATCCTGGAGGTGATATTGGTTGCTGGCCAAATCCTGCCCTACTATTTGAAGTCTAAATGGGTCTGGGTAGTGGAAGCTCCTCAGGCTGCTCTCCTGGTTGTGAGAAGAAAGTCCCTTGCTGGCCCAGTGAGGACTAGTGAGGTATACAGGAAACAAGGCAGTAGCCAGAGGCACCTGGCTGGGATGTCAGGCTGACTGGAGAGGCCAGAGGCTCCCTTGGCCTAGCAGCCCATGTTGCTGTCTACACAGTTTGTGTGAGGTCTTGGGTCTCCTCAACTGCAGGCTCATTTCTCAGGCCTGTTTTCTAAGCCTCTCTTTGTCTGACTTCTGGATGGAGAACTGTGACTTTGTCTGTGGATATATCTGATGTGGATATACCTGGACATTTGAGTATAGGAACTTTTGTTGTAGCTTAAATTTGGAGACCTATTTGTCTTTAATCTTGATGACACCACCCAAGCGTGTAATAGGCTTCCCCTCTCTACCTGCTGTGGCACACTCCCTTAAGCCGACCCCCCTCCTTCAGCTCTGAGGTAGATGCAGGAGGATGGCAGCTGGGAGCTGGCCTCAGCGTCTTCGCAGATGCTTCTCCTTGAGTTTGTTTCTCTTTAGAAACAGAGTTCTGCGCCATTTAAAGTGATCTATAGGTAGGGATGGCTTCTATGTAAACTCAATAAAATGAATGCTGCATTTTGCTGTGCCTATTTTTTAAAAGTTAACCGAATGCAGCAGCTCATTCATCACTGTGCTGTGATTCTGGCCTTGCCCACGAGCAGAGTATCTCTAAAATAATATCAGAGCCATCTTGATGTGCATGTGGGTGGGGCGCTGGGGCGTGCTTTATCCTGCCAGACATTGCCTTCTTGTTTAGTGAGATCTGGTGTGTGCCAGGCGTTGTGGGCTCTGCTATGAGCAGGCTGCCCTGGGGAGCTCCCTATTAGTGGGGCTGAGGGAGACACAAGACAGTGATGGTTACAACCCATGTCCTTAGTAGGCCCGTGGAGAGCTGCAGATCACGGGGCATTTGGCAGATAGGAAAGAAGTAGAGGGAAAGGATGGAGAGTATGAGCAGTGTGTATGCGGTGGGTGGGGGGCATCAGGATGGAGCGGCCTGGTGCTGGCCCTGTGCAGAACTGGGGCCTGGGAAGGGCCATTAGAGGAACCTACAGGGCCTTAGGTGGGGGCAGCAGAAGCAAAGGAAGACAGACACTTCATTTCTCACCTATCCTGGGGACTGTAGTGGGTGTGGTCTGGTGTCTGTGTGCCTTGAAAGCCAGAAGCTACACATTAGTTAGAAGACAAATGAAGGTTTTCCTCTTTACCTGTCGTGACAGCGGATGTTCATTGTATGTGTTTAAAAGTTGAAGGGATACCTGATTTGGCAGTCTACCTAGACCTGTTCCAAACCACCAGAGTTACAGGGTATGTAGGTCCCCACTGGATAGCTGGCTGTAGTTTGTATTTTAGGAATACCTGAGATTTCACTCAGAAATGAGTTGACTGAACAAACAGGGCAGAGGTCAGACCTGCAGGTAGACAGAGGTGAGGCTAAGACATGGCTAAAAAGCCTGGCTGCCCCTCTGAAGACCTTTTCCTGTGGTTCATGGAGGGCTGAGGGGTGTGAGAGAGAGAGAACCTGCAGCTCTGGTAGGAACACAGAGGCCAGGAGGGTCCTGACAGTGTGGATTGTGTCTGCCCAGCCCTGAGCTGTTTCTCACATGTGCACTTATTCCCCAGGAAGAAGACGGGCTTCGGATGAGGAAGGCACTGCCAAGTAACAGCCCCATGGCAGCTCTGACTGCCACCGGGAAGGAAGAAGGCCTCAGCAGCAGGCTGCTAGCTCTGGTGGTTCTGTTCTTTATCGTTGGTGTCATTATAGGGAAGATTGCCTTGTAGAGGCCGCATGCGAAGGATGGCAGGTTGGATTGATGGATCTACCACACCATGGAATTTAAATTTATCATAACCATGCGTAAAAAGAAATTAATGTATGACGGCATCTCACAGGTCTTGCCTTTAAATACCCCTCCCCATGCACACACAAATGCACACACAAATATAGCATAATATAATGACCTTTTAGAAAGTTAAAAATGTATAGGGAAAGGACGGGGAAAGAATGGTCTGTGGCTGAAGGACGCCGTGATGAACCACAGTGGCATCTTGTAGCTGTCCTGTTAAACTCGGGTCGGCCTTGGCACATGCTGCTAGATCACCTCTCTTAAAGCAAGAAGCTCTTCCTCACAGGTTGGGGCTGGCCCCTGGGAGGGGGAGTCCTACGAGGTGGGATGTGCTGTCTTTTCTTACCCAGAGGGCTTCCTCAGGCCTGCTGTTCAGTCCAGGCATTGTCTCCTCAGGCCTACAGAGCTGCAGGAGCCAGAGTGCGTTGTGCAGCGGCCCCATCTTGTGCACCTGTAGGCTGTGTGGGAGAGGCATGAGTGGACCGATGGACCCAGCACGGGGAAATCAGAGTCTGTGCTCTGCTCTCTTGAAGGGACCAAGCTCAATTGCCATTGGCTGGAGTAGTGAAACTGAGTTGTTATCGGAGATGGTTGATGCATATTTAACCTATTTCATGTATTTCATCTCATGTGTTCCTGCTGCCACCAGAGCACAGGCAGCGAGTGCTGCAGACCACCAGTGAGGAGCTGCTGTTGTGGGCTCTATGGCTCTTGGCTCTGGAGGTCTGAGGGATGGGGAGGGTGTGAGTCAGGAAGTGTTTTGTTGTAGGTCAGTAACAGCTGTCCAGAGGAGGGATGCTCTGTGTATTGACAGTCAGCTCTGGATTACCCAGTCTTCTAGATTGTCCTTCCCCACTCTCCCCTAACACTCAGCCTTCTAGAACATAGGGCAGGTCTGACTTGCCCTTCTCAGGATGAATGAGTCAGGCTGCAGAGGGTGAAGGGCACAGAGGGGGTGGGGTGAGGGTGGGGGAGCCCCTCAGCAAATCCATCTGCTGGTGATAAAGAGCCTTGACTGTGAATTAATTTCATGCCATAAAAGACCGATCCAGTTCTGCTCAACTATGTAGCATCTTAAAGGAAGAGATTAAAATAAAGCCCCAAATTAAGAGTCCTTTTGTCATTTTGTCACATTTGCTGTGTGTGGAGTTATTATTATCAATCATCGTTAGCGTGCTATGGAAGGTTGACTTTAAAATGAGCTCTGTCAGTGGGAAACACGTGTGTAATGATTTGACTCTGCACACATCTGTGTGCACACGCACACACATAGATTACGATTACTTTTATTAGTATAGTTTTGGTTGGCTTAGCTTAATAGCAGGAGCCATCTCACGCCAGCTCTCCTTCCCCTTCTGTGACCTTGGCCCTTCAGTGACAGGCCCGGGTCTGAGAGGACAAGCATCTAAAGGAAGACTGGCCTCGACACCTGCGATCACACTGCTACTGTGCCTGAGTAGCCAGCTGGGACCTGGAGACAGCTGAGACTGTGCTGGGCGGTAAGCAGCCCGAGGTTCCCTCAGGCAGTGCCGAGAGAGCAGCCCTGCTCTGCCCCTCATCACTGAGTTTCTAAATCTTTCCATGTACCTGAGGAAGGGAGGCTCCGCCTGAGCCTTGAGGTCTGAGCTGCCACCCTGCTTCCCTGGGTGAGCTAAGGTTCAGCAGTCGAAGGTGCTGCAGTCATCCTTTTGCAGCCTTTGAGAATGGAGTAACTCAGGGCCTCTGACAGAACCTGTGTGTCATCTAGCTCTATGACACCTGAGCTAGGGGCTGCAAGTGTTCTTAAGGGATGGCTCTATGTGCCAGAAAAACTCTTGAAAAGCATAGCCAGCTGCCGAGATTAGAGTGTGTCTGGGAGCTGCCGTGGCTTGGGCGGTGGAAGGTGACTGTGTGTACCCTGTCAGAATGCTCTTACCGGTCCAGAGGTTACAGACACTTCTGCTGTAGCAGCAACAGGAAAACTCCAGATACAAAGGTATCCTTCCTTTGTCTGGCCCTCGGAAGCCCTTCCTCGGAGAGACGACTGGCTGAGTGTGGTAGTTGTTGGGGCTTCTTGACCAAGGAGACGGGAACTCTAGGGAGGTTAGCAAGGCAGAGTGGGTAAATCTCAGAGTTACTCGTCACTAAAGAATGCTGGAAGAGAGGTGTCGGCAGGATGAGTCTCTGAAGAGAGTTGTGCACATTTGGGGTGTCTTTTCTGAACATTTCAGAGCAGAGAAACCTGAGTAAGGCCCAGAGGAGGCAAGCGTCACTCTCTACCACAAGTGTGCTGTCTCCAAAGAGGACAGAGTCCAGTGTTCCGAGAGGTGTGAAGCTGAGAGCTAGTAGGACAGCAACCATGAGGCAGCCAGGGCAAGTCCTCCGTGGTTACAGGCCCGCTGCCCTCCTTATCAAGTGTCCTGGCTTTGCAAGCGCCAGCCACGGTGCTCACTGGCGGACACAGTAGCAGAGTCCCACCAACTGCTATTGATTGAATTTCCAAGTTGGTAATTTAAGCTTGGAAAGACACAGAGCACCTCTTAGAGACAGCGAGCACTGTTATCCGTCCGAGTGAGGCCCGGACTTTAATTTTCTTCTCCTCCTACTTTGCATGTTTTCCCTCTCTGGTCTTTTAAACTGCTGGCACCAGCAGTAATAAATACTGATAAAATCAAAATTGATTTTTACCAGTGGACAGTTTATGCCTAGAGAGACGGCTTATACCTACATAACATAGAACGGGGATGAGGAGCCTCCAGTGAGCCGTGAAAAGCTAACCGCTTTCAAACAAATCCTCGGAACAGCATTGCCATGTGAAGATAGCAGGACCCAGCCTGCAGGCTGTGTTGAGTCAGACAGAACTGAATGCAGCCAGAGCTAAATAGCCCCTTCAGATTAATTTGAAAACAAGCCCTTTGTGTGCATGTGTGTGTTTGTGTGTAGCATATGTGCCCCGTGTAAGCAGCTTGACAGTTTCCAAATGGTGCCTGTGTCTTTTTTTGCACACAGATCTTGGTGTTTTCAAGCTCAGAGTCCAAGCCAAAATGCAGTATCATTTGTCATTTTCAGGCTTCTCAAAATTAACTGGCCCAAGTGCAGATTTCCAGTTATAGTTTGCAAAACCCTTATTTTAAGGGAGAGACTGGGACAGGGGACAGTTGGTCCTGTGATCTAGGTCATTCTGTATACCTAGGTGACGTTCTCCTTCCCAGGCCTTCTCCAGTATAGAGGCCCACGCTCCCCTTGCTGTTGAGGTAGCTATGTCTCCTGTGGACCTTGTCTCCTGTGACAGAGGGGATGAGTAAAACTTTGTAGGTTACCTTGTTTACTGTTCCTAAGAATGAATGCTTCTCAAAGCCAAGCAGAAATGCAATTGTGTTTAAAGTCCCCTGCAGAGCGTAGATGGATGGTTTGCAACATAGGGAGGCCCCACTCTCACTTGCTGGGATCCTGGGCTGCTGGCTCCTTCGGGGTTCCCTGGCCTGATTGGATATGGAGAAGGCCTTTTCTCTCCCCAGACAGAGCTACTACTGTAGGGACCTTTGTCAACACTGCCCTGGCTACAGTGAACCTCACAAAACATCAGGTTAGGCTCTGCCCCTGTACACTAAGGTGGGTAACTTTTTAGTTCTAAACTAAATCAGTCCCAGCCTGTATGCAAATGCTAAAGCACTGCTTGTTTGGAGATCTGCAAATCAGTGGAGGGAACAAGGTGGTGGGAGGTATTTGCTTCAGAGACCTCAGCTTGCCAGCCCTGTTGTCTGCCACCCTGATCCAGCCAGTGTTTCCAGGCTGAGCAGGAAGAGCCAGGGAGCTAGTGTGTTCTGAACACATCGCATGTGATGAATGCATATGGTCGTTTCCATTTTGCTCACTGCCCATGTGCCTGGGGAATTGTGGGAGCTTTAGAAAGAAAATTACCACTGTGTCTCAGTGAGGTGAGGCTGCTGTGTCTGGAAGCTCCTCATAACTTGTAAATTAAATGTGAATGAGAAGAGTTCATTAAAATTGGCATTATAGAAGTGGCCTATTGAGGTTTGAAAGCAGCTGAGCTCGCGGTGCCTGGGCCCTCTAAACCTGTGGAGAAATGCATGAACAAGTGACAGGCGACAGTCACAGGAGCTTGGGCACTGTGAGTGGATCGCTGCCTGGCTCCCAGCCCTCCAACGATCACCGCATGGTCAACACATGAGGTTCAGCCACTAAGAATATTTGCTATTTGGGGTATACAAGGGAGCCAGACCCCTAAGGGAGGAGACTAGCATCGTTTGCACAGCAGCGTAGATGCTGTTCTCATTGATTCCGGGTACGTAGGTTTGTGTAAAAGTTTCAAAGGCATAGCACACACGAACGTCTGTGTATTATGGTTCAGAGAGATACAGGGAAGGTGGAGGAGAGATGGTTTCTGTGAATACAATAATTACGTTAATTTCTTCCCTTAATGGAATTAATGTATTAGAAGATGTGTGCACCTGCTCTACAGAAAAGGAAGGGAAACTAACAGTAATAACACAGCCATTATCCACCTCACCACAGACATTTGCAGTTATGCTACCTTGGAATGTTGCCACAGTGGGTTCCACTGATGAAAAGATGTCTCTGGGAAGGAGAGTGGCTGCAAGGCACTGAGCGCTGCAGCCTGTAAATGCTGCTGTTTATCTTGAACCAGAAGCATTGGTCCTGTAACAATGCCCTATTACAGTTGCTGTACTGCAGCAGGGGGAAGCGAGGGGGGAGGGAGATGCAGGTTTAATCATCTTGCTAATGAATGTGGGTGCAGGATGGATGCTCTGCCCTGCCTCCTCGCCTGCATCCTGATGAGCCTCAGTAGCTGTCAGGGCCATTGCATGGTGAAGCTGCAGATGCAGTTCCGTCTCCCAGATGCTCAAAAGCCACGCCTGGCCAAAATAAAACGGATTATCTGTTCCTTTCTGTTTCCCTCCAGAAGACACCTACTATGGGAGACAAATCAGATCTTTAACACAACCCCATTAAGGCTCCATGCTAACAAGAGCACAGAGCTCACGTGACCCACAGACGTGATGAATTAGCATGTACGTTCCACACTCAGACTCACCAGCTCTTTCTGTAACACAGAAAGGCTTCCATCTTTTTTATGGACAGGACACCTGCATTCCCATCTCTTTGCTTTTTAGAAGTAAACTAAATTCAGCTGCTAGCCCTCCAGTGCAGCATTTTATTTTTTTTAAAAAAAAAAGTCTTTTGCCATTGAGTCTCTTACGTGGTCTCAAAGGTCAGAATTTATTGTCTGTGATAGTAAAACCATGTGTACAAAACTGCCTTCTGTTCATGATCCATGTAGCAGACGTTCCTATAGCTCTGCCTCTATTTTCTGTATGGTGAGGTGCTCAGAAACTAATCAGCAGGAGTGTGTGTCACTGGTAAGCAGTCTTAAGTGGAATACAAAATGCACTGGGCCTCATTTTTTTCCTTTTCTTTCTTTTTTTTCTTTTTTTTTTGGTTAGTGTTTCTTTTGTTTATTCTTTTCTGGTTTTTAAATAAAATATATGAACTGCTGGCATTTGGAACTTCCTATAATAAACACAAGATAATGTTCCTGTCGAAACTGTTTCAGTAATTCATGCCTTCCCCACCCAGTTTTACATCCTTTCTCATCTCCAAAAAAAAAATCTCTGCAGCCTGTGACTGTGCGTGTCAGTTCTGACCTCCGTATACGTCAACATTTTAGGAACTGAGCATTTTAAGGGATGTTTTAGAATGCTGTTCTTTCCTGCTCTTTCCTTTATGCTTTTAAGGTGTATTTCCTGTTCTGAAATGGGACTCATTCACAGGATCAGAGCAGGGAGGGACTCTTTCTCATCGTGCACTTTGGTTGTCTGATGTGTGATAAATCCATGGTTTTATGGCTGACTTTACATTTCCCAGAGGGAAGGAGACAGATTTTTAGTATCCACACCAAAAGAGCCATTCACCCAGGCTTCTCACGTGTTGTGTACTGGTCTGATGAAACCTGCCCTGCTGTGGCATAAATGTTCGTATGAGCTGTCTCCATATAATGTTCAATAAATTGTGTGCTCTGAATATATGTAAGTGGTGATTTCGTGCATAATTATTTTGAATGGATGACTTGAGACTGTTTGATGTGCTGCAGAG